TGCTTGTCACTCTGCTTACCCTGAGCAGAAAATGCTCATTATCAACTTAGTCAAGGTATTGATGTAATGAAACTATACACCAAGTTTCATCACTCTCACTTAATTAGAACTAAAAGTTATCGTGTCCCAAAGCATCAACCAATCTAATTGCTTATCTCTGTTTACCCTAAGCAGAAAATGCTCATCTTCGAACTCCACCAAGGCATTGTGTTCCAAAGTCTCGGCCAATGAAATTGCTTATCGCTTGAAACAAGGGCCATAACTCTAGAAGTAATAAACGGAAATTGCTGAAATTCAATAGGATTCTTCTCTTTACTAATTTAAATGATGCATGCAAATTTCATACAGATCGGCAGATAACTTTTGATGTTAGAGCGTTCAAAAGGTTCAATCAAGTGAAACAAGGGCCATAACTCTAGACGTAATAAACAGAAATTGCTGAAATTCAATAGGCTTCTTTGTTTCACTAATTCAAATAATGCATATAAATTTCAGAAAGATAGGATGATAACTTTTGGCGTTAGAGCATTCACAAGGCTCAACAAAGTGAAACAAGGGCCAGAACTCTAGACGAAATAAGCGGAAATTCAATAGGCTTACTCGTTTCCCTAATTTAAATATTGCATATAAATTTCAGAAAGATAGGATAACAAGAAATTGTGGACAATGGACGGACAGACGGTGGCGACGGCAATATAAGTCCACATTTCTATGTGGGCGTATAAAAAGGTTACAAATCGTGAAAAAACGAGCAATGGAGCTGTGACACCTAATGATAGGTTATGATGGTGTTTGGTGACCTAGTCATGTTATAAAGGCCTGGAAGCTACATTTTGACTCAAATAATTGTTTTCTTTTTACTTCACTTTTGAAAACTTTTATTATTCCTTCAAATCGGTATGTAGCCTATTATTGAGCAACTTTCTTTTTATTTTGTATATTCTTATCAATGTAGATATCAAATCATGGCAACTAAAGCAGGCCTTACATAAGTTGGTTCTTTCAATTTGTTTAACTGGCCAACAAATATACATGTAGATCTATTAATACTCGAGGTGTTAAATATATTTTCCTAACAAGAGCATCGCTAACGCTGCAATATACGTCCACATTCCAGCTTTGATCGATATGGTATTTTTAAAAAGGAAGAGAATGAAACATGAAACGGCTGTAATATGATCAGAGACAAAAAAGGCTAGGTGTTTGTTTTGCCAAATTTACAGAGAGAGCGAGAGAGAAATGGGGTTTAACGTCAACTCGACACAAACTAGGTCATTTCGGGACTAACATATGGTTTAATTTTATTTCAATAATTAGTTTGCGCATAGGGGTCTTTAGCAGTGGGAGGAAACCGGAGGACCCGGAGAAAACTCACGAGGTTGGACAGGCGACCCTACTCCTTGTCATGTACAACCGGGTATTCGAAACCACACCAGTCGACTCAATGACAGACTTTATGATACAGCGCGCGCACGCTAACCATTCAGCCATCCACACCCCCCCCCCCCCAAATTTACAGACAGAGTACTAACAAAAAAGTGGGTGTGACACTGCCCCAGGAGGTCTTGGCAAGCATCAAAATAAATAGTTGCTGTCTTTACGGTATAAGGAATAAATATGCAAAGTTCCAAGATGATCCATTCAGAATGGCAGCCTGTAGATGATAAATACAAAAGATAGGTTGCCAGGCAACGTAACATACATCTACAGCAACTAAATCGTCCGGGCAGTCAACAAGGGTTGTCGCATATTTTTACTTTTTTCGGTAATGAAACATTTATAATACACTAAAATCTGATTAAGAGCAACAACTCACGAAGTAATTATCAGAAAACTAATAGAATTTGTTTGGTTTTTATAAAGTTCTGCCCCATGCTAACGTTTTGTATGCAAAGCTTTTAATATCATAGATTTAACTGTTCAAGTCATAAAAATTAATTGAAAATCAATATATTTGTTCATCTCAAGATCTTAAACTCTGTGTCTCAATCTGAAGTCAATCGGATGATAACTTAAGGGCCATAACTTTGGCAGTAATTATCTGAAATCGTTGAAAATCAATAGGAATCTTAGTCTCATGACCTCAAACACTGTGTATAAATTTAAACTCAATCGGATATTAACTTGAGCCTCAAGAGCATCCACAAGATTTTTTGCAGTGATCAAGGGCCATAATTCTGGCAGTAATTATCGGAAATCGCTGAAAATCAATAGGCTTCTTCGTCTCATGACCTTAAACACTGTGTATAAATTGAAAGTCAATCTGATATTAACTTTGGCCTATAGAGCATCCACAAGATTTTTCAAAGTAATCAAGGGCCGTAACTCTGGCAGCAAACATTGGAAATCGCTGAGCATTCACAAGGTTCAACAAAGTGAAACAAGGGCCATAACTCTAGACGTTATAAATGGAAATTATTGAAATTAAATAGGCTTCTTCATCTCACTAATGTAAACAACATATATCAATTTTAAAACAATTGGATGATAACTTTTGCCGTTAGAGCATTCACAAAAAATTATGGACGATGGACGGAAATATACGGCCACATTTCTATGTGGGCGTATAAAAACGGAAATATTTCTTAATGGTAATAAGGAACACCTTGTATCAATCATTTAGGATGGAATGTCGCAGTGAAAGATTGAAATGACTGTGTCATCAACCATAGATATGTTGTGAACCACTGGTGTTCATTAGACTAAATACAGTATCAATAAAATAAGAACACTTAAAAAAGGGCTGGTAACACAACAATTTTACTTGCTTCTGAGTATTTTGAGCCTCGAAGTCACGCACATGTAGAGGGCAAAGATAGGTTGCCAGACAACAAAACATACGTTGTTTGAAGGTTCACAAGGTTCTAAAATCTAAAACAAGGGCCATAACTCTGGAAGCAATCTACAGAAATTGTTCAAATTCGAAAGGCTTTTTTCGTTTTAATAATTCAAATAATGCATATGAATTTTATACAGATCGGATGATAACTTTTGTTGTTCACAAAGTTCAACAAAGTAAATCAAGGGCCATAAGTCTAGACGTAATTGATGGAAATTGCTGACATTCAATAGGCTTGTTCGTCTTCATTTCACTAATTTAGGTGATAACTGAAACTCAATAGGCTTGTTCGTTTTACTAATTTAAATGATACATATAAATTTCATACAGATCGGATAATAACTTTTGTCGTTAGAGCATTTACAAGGTACAACAAAGTGAAACAAGGGCCATAACTCACGGCGTAATTAAAGGAAATTGCTGAAATTCAATAGGCTACTTTATTTCACTAATTTAAATGATGCATATCAATTTCAAACAGATCGGATGATAACTGTTGTCATTAGAGCGTTCACAATATTCAACAAAGTGAAACAAGGGCCATAACTCTAGATGTAATTAACGGAAATTGCTGAAATTCAATGGGCTTCTTTGTTTTACTAATTTAAATGATGCATATATATTTCATACAGATCGGTTGATAACTTTTGTCATTAGAGTGTTCACAAGGTGCAACAAAGTAAAACAAGGGCCATAACTCCAGAAGAAATGAAAGGAAATTGCTGAAATTCATTAGGCTTCTTTATTTCACTAATTTAAATGATGCATATTAATTTCAAACAGATCAGATGATAACTGTTGTCATTAGAGCGTTCACAAGATTCAACAAAGTGAAACAAGGGCCATAACTCTAAGATGTAATTAACGGAAATTGCTGAAATTCAATAGGCTTCTTTGTTTTACTAATTTAAATGATGCATATATATTTCATACAGATCGGTTGATAACTTTTGTCATTAGAGTGTTCACAAGGTGCAACAAAGTAAAACAAGGGCTATAACTCCAGAAGAAATTAACGGAAATTGCTGAAATTCAATAGGCTTCTTCATTTCACTAATTTAAATGATGCATATCAATTTCATACAGATCGGTTGATAACTTTTGTCATTAGAGCGTTCACAAGATTCAACAAAGTGAAACAAGGGCCATAACTCTAGATGTAATTAACGGAAATTGCTGAAATTCAATAGGCTTCTTTGTTTTACTAATTTAAATGATGCATATAAATTTCATACAGATCGGTTGATAACTTTTGTCATTAGAGCGTTCACAAGGTGCAACAAAGTGAAACAAGGGCCATAACTCCAGAAGAAATTAACAGAGGTTATTGAAATTAAATACGCTTCTTCATTTCACTAATTTAAATGATGCATATCAATTTCAGACAGATCGGTTGATAACTTTTGTCATTAGAGCGTTCACAAGATTCAACAAAGTGAAACAAGGACCATAACTCTAGATGTAATTAACGGAAATTGCTGAAATTCAATAGGCTTCTTTGTTTTACTAATTTAAATGATGCATATAAATTTCATACAGATCGGTTGATAACTTTTGTCGTTAGAGCTTTCACAAGGTGCAACAAAGTGAAACAAGGGCCATAACTCCAGAAGAAATTAACAGAAGTTATTGAAATTAAATAGGCTTCTTCATCTCATTTATACAAACAACATATATCAATTTCAAAACAATCGGTTGATAAATGTAGTCTGTAGAGTTTTCACAAGAAATTGTGGACGATGGACGGACGGACGGACGGGGGCGACGGCAATATACGACCACATTTCCATGTGGGCGTATAAAAAGGCAAAATTTTGGAATGTCTGCATATTTTTACGCAACTCGAAATTGATCCACTGCAACCTCTGGGCCCACAACCTAAAAACATGATTTTTCGTACAATCAGGGGCCATAATCCATTAAGTTTCGGTTCGATATGTGTGAATATCAAAATCGGATAAAATTTTTGACTAGAGTGCCCACAAACAAAATGTGAACAGATGGATAGGGACAATGACAATATACGTTGACATGAAAATGTGGCCGTATGAAAAAAAACAGAGTTATGTCAACTATCCTCACAAAATTTATGAAGAACTGTTCGATAAAGGCATTTCTACGAACTAATTATATTTTCATAAAATTCAGTAATAAAACAAACCTGTAGCGCATGTAAAATGTGAGTAGATTATTTTATCTGGATCTGGGTTAAGTTCTACAAACATTTTTAGAATGAATTCTCTTGCTAAGCCAGCGTCCCTCTTTGGACCTGAAGGAAAAATATGACAAAATGACTATACTGGTAATATTAGCAGTCATCTAATTTACATCAAATATCAAGTTAACTAATTTACCAATTATAATATTGATATACAGTTTGTACCAATTTTTTTGGACCGAAATTGCTCCTGAAAAAAAAAAAAAAAAAAAAAAAAAAAAAAAAAAAAACCAACCCACGCTCGGAAATCCCTAAGGTTTCACAGTGAATTTTTGCTTGCTCCCGCAGAATGTTTCATTTATCGATTGACCAAAATTTTGGGTGCTTGACATTATTCACGCTCGAAAATAGCTGACATTTCATGAATTTTTCTGTGGTGTACATGTATTTGTTTCTCAAAGCATTTCACTTATTTGTATTTTCTGATGGCTGTGAGGGTCTTTTTACAGCATTTGTAAGTTCTAGTTTCCTAGGTAAAAGAGCAACTTAAAACATTTCCACTGAAGGACCGTTTCAATATTTTACAAAAAGCAATAGATCTAAATGAATACACAAACTACAATGGACCCGTTTTGCTGAAATTTAGTAAGTATAATCCGTTTATATCCAAGAAGTAATGCACCACATTGTGTGATTGTAAATTTCTACTAGTACAACGTATAAAACTCGTTCACTTGGTGAATGAATACATATCAAATAAGTCCCCAAATTTGTAGAATATATATTACAACGCAGTAAATCTGCATACCTTGGTGACCTTGAAAATTTTCATTGCCTTCAAAAAGGGAGTTATTTTATTTTAGAGACTAACTCAAATACAATGTCATGGTTATACCATCAAAAAATATATTTGCAAAGAACAATAGCGTAAGAATATACATGTAATCACAGAGTTGATTCATTGGCTAGATTTGGCGGGTAATATGACACGCGACATATGATTTATTATGCATGGACTGTGTGAATGACGACTGTAATTCAGTGTCATGTTAAAGCCCACAGTATTTAATTCATTCATTTTAATTGTGATGTATTCTTTAAAGGTGACCAAGTCCTAATATTTGAAAAAAACAGCGGTAGCCAGGCAGGATACGACCACACTTTGCAAGAGATGGATCGAGAACAAGCTAAACAAAGATAGGTTGCCAGGCAACGAAACATACGCCCACAGCAGCTAAATCGTCCAAGCAGTCGACAAGGGTTGTCGCATATTTATTCCTTTGTAGGTAATTGGGAACCTTTACAAGACAGTTCCATACAGATCAGATTATAATTTTTTGCCGTTTGAGGAATCACAAAGTTCTACAAATTGAAACAAGGGTCTCAACTCTGGAAGTAATCTGCAGAAATTGTTGAAATTTAACAGGCTTTTTCGTTTCACAAATTTAAATGATGCATATAAATTTCATACATATCGGATGATAACTTTCATCAATCGAGCATTAACAAGGTTGAACAAAGTGAAACAAGAGCAATAACTCTAGAAGTAATAAACAGAAATTGCTGAAATTCAATAGGATTCTTCTCATTACTAATTTAAATGACGCATGTAAATTTCATACAGATTGGCAGATAACTTTTGATGTTAGAGCATTCACATGGTTCAATAAAGTGAAATAAGGGCCATAACTCTAGATGTAATACACAGAAATAGCTGAAATTCAATAGGTTTCTTCGTTTCACTCATTTAAATAATGCATATAAATTTCAGAAAGATAGGATGATAACTTTTGGGGTTAGAGCGTTCACAAGGTTAAACAAAGTGAAACAAGGGCCATAACTCTAAAAGTAATAAACGGAAATTGCTGAAATTCAATAGGCTTCTTCGTTTCCCCAATTTAAATATTGCATATAAATTTCACAAAGATCGGATGTCAACTTTTGGCATTAGAGCGTTCACAAGATTCAACAAAGTGAAGCAAGGGCCATAACTCTAGATGTAATTAACGAAAATTGCTGAAATTCAATAGGCTTCTTTGTTTTACTAATCTAAATGATGCATATAAATTTCATACAGATCGGATAAATGATGCATATCAATTGCAAACAGATCGGATGATAACTGTTGTCATTAGAGCGTTCACAAGATTCAACAAAGTGAAACAAGGGCCATAACTCTAGACGTAATAAACGGAAATTGCTGAGATTCAATAGGCTTCTTCATTTCACTAATTTAAATGATGCATATATATTTCATATAGATTGATTGATAACTTTTGTCGTTTGAGCGTTCACAAGGTGCAAAAAAGTGAAACATGGGCCATCAGTCCAGAAGAAATTAACGGCAGTTCGTGAAATTAAATAGGCTTCTTCATCAGGTGCAAAAAAGTGAAACAAGGGCCATCAGTCCAGAAGAAATTAACGTCAGTTCGTGAAATTAAATAGGCTTCTTCATCTCACTAATGCAAACAACATATATCAATGTCAAAACAATCAGATGATAAATGTAGTCTGTAGAGTGTTCACAAGAAATTGTGCATACATGTGATTGGCCACAAGTAAAATATCAGATCTTTGTAAAAATGTCAGGAGAATTAAGGTCAAAAGAGGGAGACTTTATCACGCGTTAAAATTACCCACCCACCATGAATAAAAGATAAATTAATTTACATATTTTAATATCATTTGATTGTAAATCGTCGGTAATTGCATCTTATATCATTAATCCCAATTTCCTCCTCATTACAATCCAATAACAAACAACTGTTGTGCTAATCTTGTCAGTTAGACGACGAGATTAACGGTTTCTTCGTTGTACTCAACCGGCATCTTTAATTCTTTAAATGACCTCTGACCCACGCTATTCAAGACCTCTCATTCTTATAAATAATTCGAAATGAACAATAAAAACTTAATTAAAATCAACTGATTGCTAAACTTTATTAATTTCGTATAAAAACAATAATTATCATGTTATTTAAATGGTATTGTTCAAAATACGTAAACATCGGAAATGTATTCAGGTCGTGTTACTAATTATAGTAACAACATTCAACACGAGATTGTCGGTTGTCGTTAACAAAAAAAAGTCTTTCTCGTTTTATTTCGATGCTATTTGATTACATTTTTGACTCCCAAAAAATAAAATTACAAGAATTGAAAAAGCAGGAGTATTTGTCTCCCGATCGGGAGCTTGGGATATCAGGGGTGAAATCGGGAGACTTCCGCGAATTGCGGGAGGTATCACATGTATGATTGTGGACGACGGATGAGAGAACAGGGGCGACGGCATTATTACGACCACATTTCCATTGGACAATTCCCTGTTTATTGGTACCAATTTCATTGTGATCGGGCCACAAGTAGCTAAGATATGGGCCTTTAAAGATTAGAAGGATCGTTCGTTTTAACCCATTTTCGCAAATTTCGGTCGTCCTTAGCAACAAAACCGTTCATCCTATTTCGTTAAAATTTGAGAAATCAGCTTTACCACCCCACATAAACATGTACATAAAATTTCATGAAAATCCAAGGAGGTGGGGTTAAACCCATTGGGTGATTTGACACGGAATGACCCTAATGTAAACAACATCAATTTTAAAACAATTGGATGATAACTTTTGGCGTTAGAGCGTTAGACGGACGGGCGATGGCAATATACGTCCACATTTCTATGCGGGTGTATAAAAAGCGATTTTTCATACAATCACAGGCCATAATTCAGGAAGTTATGATCTGATATGCGCGAATATAGACAGGAACCAAGATCTTTAGGTTATAAAGATCTATTTCAAGTTTCATCAAACCTTTTTTTAAATCAGATAAAAATTGTGACCTCTAGAGGGACCACAAGCTAAAAATGTGATTTTTGGTACAAACATGGGCCTTAATTCAGGAAGTTATGATCCGATATGAGTGAATATTGACAGAAACCAAGATCTTTGGGTAATAAATATGTTTCAAGTTTCATCAAAATCTGATCAAAATTGTGGCCTCTAGAGGGTCCACAACAGATATTTACACTATTTGCGGACAAAAGTCGGTCATTTTGTCCAGCAATTTTGGTCCGAAATTCGAACTCCGTCATCATTAGGGTGTAACGGTGATATATTCAAACGTTTTTTTAAATAGGATAAAAATTGTGACCTCTAGAGGGACCACAAGCTAAAAACACAATTTTCGTGCAATCAAGGGCCATAATTCAGCAAATTAAAATCGGATATGCACGAATATCGAAAGGAACCAAGATATTTGGGGTATAAACATGCATTTCAAGTTTGATCAAAATCGGATGAAAATTATGATCTCTAGAGGGGCCACAACCTTGATATACCAAGCGTTTCTTTAAATCGGATAATAATTGTGACCTCTAGAGGGACCACAAGCTAAAAACACAATTTTGGTCCGAAATTCGAACTCCGTCATCATTAGGGTGTAACGGTGATATATTCAAACGTTTTTTTAAATTGGATAAAAATTGTGACCTCTAGAGGGACCACAAGCTAAAAACACAATTTTCGTGCAATCAAGGGCCATAATTCAGCAAATTAAAATCGGATATGCACGAATATCGAAAGGAACCAAGATATTTGGGGTATAAACATGCATTTCAAGTTTGATCAAAATCAGATGAAAATTATGATCTCTAGAGGGGCCACAACCTTGATATACCAAGCGTTTCTTTAAATTGGATAATAATTGTGACCTCTAGAGGGACCACAAGCTAAAAACACAATTTTTCGTATAATCAAGGGCAATAATTCAGGAAGTTACAATCATATATGCGCGAATATCAAAAGGAACAAAGATCTTTGGGTTATAAACATAAAGATAGGTTGATAGGCAACAAAACATATGCCCACAGCAGCTAAATCGTCCGGGCAGTCAACAAGAGTTGTTGCATATTTTTACTTTTTTCGGTAATGAAACATTTATAATACACTAAAATCTGATTAAGAGCAACAACTCAGAAAACCATTAGAATTTGTTTGGTTTGTATACAAAATTTTTAATATCATGGATTTAGCTGTTCCAAGTCATAAAAATTCATTGAAAATCAATATACTTGTTCGTCTCAAGATCTTAAAACTCTGTGTATCAATCTGAAGTCAATTGGATGATAACTTTAGCCTTTAGAGCATCACAAGATTTTGCAAAGTGATCAAGAGTCATAACTTTGGCAGTAATTATCGGAAATCATTGAAAATCAATAGGATTCTTCGTCTCATGACCTTAAACACTGTGTATAAATTTAAGGTCAATCGGATATTAACTTTGGCCTCTAAAGCGTCCACAAGATTTTTTCAATCAATAAATTTAAAAAAACGGAATTATAAAGAGTAAAATCGGAATGATTACGACAAAATCGGAATAGTTGGCATGTATGAAACCCGCCGTGTACTGTACGAGTGTATGCGAGAATGGCTCCGCGTAGCAAATAATATCCGCTAAGTATGCAAATTAGGCACGGCCTATGACGAAATAACCACATGACATTTTAATCTCGATTAGTCCAGACATATTAGCTTATTCCATTTTATATTAATAATAATCGAGAAAACTGGAGACATGTTTTCGGCTATTTCTGTCGTTTTACCGCGAATTATGCAAATTAGACACGGCAAATGACGGAAATAACCACATGACATTTTGATCTTGATTAGTACAGACATAATAGCTTATTCCATTTTATATTAATAATAATGACACATGTTCTCGACTATTTTCGTTGTTTTACCGACTCATACTACGATATCCGGTACCCTATTAGATGCGTAGAATCTGTCGAGGTTTGCTGAATGATACTACGATAAACAGTATCGCCATCAGATTCACAACAAACAGCGAGAATGCTGAGACAGTCGTCAATGTAAAACTAAAACGAGAGGGATTTTATCAATCAAAAAGGTCAGGAATGAAATATAATAAATTTCTTCCAATAAATTTTAAAAAACGGAATTATAAAGAGTAAAATCGGAATTCAGAATTAGACTCAGAAAATCGGAATGATTCCGACAAAATCGGAATAGTTGGCATGTATGTTTAAGGGCCATAACTTTGGCAGTAATTATCGGAAATTGTTGAAAATCAATAGGAATCTTCGTCTCATGACCTCAAACACTGTGTATAAATTTAAACTCAATCGGATAGAAACTTGAGCCTCAAGAGCGTCCACAAGATTTTTTGAAGTGATCAAGGGCCATAACTCTGGCAGTAATAATCGGAAATCGCTGAAAATCAATAGGCTTCTTCGTCTCATGACCTTAAACACTGTGTATAAATTGAAAGTCAATCGGATATTAACTTTGGCCTCTAGAGCGTCCACAAGATTTTTCAAAGTGATCAAGGGCCATAACTCTGGCAGCAAATATTGGAAATCGCTAAAATTCAATAGGCTTCTTCGTCTCATGACCTTAAACACTGTGTATAAATTTAAAGTCAATCGAATATTAACTTTCGCTTCTAGAGCATCCACAAGATTTTTCAGAGTGATCAAGGGCCATAACTCTGGCAGTAATTATCAGAAATCGCTGAAAACCAATAGGCTTCATCATCTTATGACCTTAAACACTGTGTATAAATTGAATGTCAATCGGATGTTAACTTTAGCCTCTAGAGCATCCACAAGATTTTTTGAAGTGATCAAGGGCCATAACTCTGGCAGTAATTATTGGAAATTGTTGAAAATCAATAGGTTTCTTCGACTCATGACCTTAAACATTGTGTATAAATTTAACGTCAATCGGATATTCACTTTGGCCATTAGAGCATCCACAAGATTTTTTGAAGTGATCAAGGGCCATAACTTTGGCAGTTATTATCGGAAATCGCTGAAAATCAATAGGCTCCTTCGTCTCATGACCTTAAACACTGTGTATAAATTTAAAGTCAATCGGATATTAACTTTGGCCTTTAGAGCATCCACAAGATTTTTTGAAGTGATCAAGGGCCATAACTCTGGCAGTAATTATCGGAAATCGTTGAAAATCAATAGGCTTCTTCGTCTCATGACCTCAAACACTGTGTATAAATTTAAGGTCAATTGGATATTAACTTTAGCCTCTAGAGCGTCCACAAGGAATTGTGGACGCCGGACCGCCGGACGGACGGACGGGGGCGACGACAATATACGACCACATTTCAATGTGGGCATATAAAAACGGAATTATAAAGAGTAAAATCGGAATTCAGAATTAGACTCAAAATCGGAATAGTTGGCTTGTATGCTAGAGCGTCCACAAGATTTTTCAAAGTTATTAAGGGCCATAACTCTGGCAGTAATTATCGGAAATCGCTGAAAATCAATAGGCTTCTTCGTCTCATGACCTTAAACACTGTGTATAAATTTAAAGTCAATCGGATATTAACTTTGGCCTCTAGAGCATCCACAAGATTTTTTGAAGTGATCAAGGGCCATTACTCTGGCAATAATTATCGGAAATCGCTGAAAATCAATAGGCTTCTTCGTCTCATGGCCTTACACACTGTATATAAATTTCAAGTCAATTGGATATTAACTTTGGCCTCTAGAGCGTCCACAAGATTTTTTGAAGTGACCAAGGGCCATAACTCTTGCAGTTATTATCGGAAATTGCTAATTTCAATATGATCAAAAGCCAACAATAATTGCATAAAACTTCTGCTTTTATTTCTAATAATATACGAGCAGGTTTATGATGCCAGAAGTTATGTCGATATTTAACCGATATTCATGTAAATATTACACAAATTACTGGAGAATAATACAAATTTATACTTGCCATCAAACTCGGGAAAATAGTCTACTAGGTGTGAGTGCATAATTTTCTCTTCTAATAAATCTTTCTTATTCAAGAAAAGAATGACTGACGAGTTTTGGAACCATGGGTATGTGATAATTGTTCGGAACAAGGCTTTTGATTCTTCCATTCGGTTCTGAAACAAAATATAACGTGCATATAAGAATGATGCACTGTAAGTGAGTACCAGTACATATCAAGTATCGATTTATCTTCGATGCATCGATTCGGCCGACGCCGATGCGATTCTCGGCCCTTTTTTTGTATTATCGATACATCTGCAAAAAATACTAATAGCAATATGTGTCTGACGACTCTGAGGAGTTCACAAGTTCGTCCAAGTCAGACCATATCCAATATTGCCTCATGGGGCTAATAATATGGTCATCAGTTACATGGCTGAAACTTACCAGAAACAAATATCCACACTTGGTAAATAGAATTTTCAAAGATAGATTGCCAGGCAACGAAACATACGCCCACAGCAGCTAAGTCGTCCGGGGAGTCAACAAGTGTTGTTGCATATTTTTACTTTTTTCGGTAATGAAACATTTATAATACACTAAAATCTGATTAAGAGTAACAACTCATGAAGTAATTATCAGAAAACCATTAGAATTTGTTTGGTTTTTATAAAGTTCTGCCGCATGCTAACGTTTAGTATACAAAACTTTTAATATCATGGATTTAGCTGTTCAAGTCATAAAAATTCATTGAAAATCAACATACTTTTCGTCTCAAGATCTTAAACTCTGTGTATCAATCAGATAATAACTTTAGCCTCTAGAGCGTCACAAGATTTTTCAAAGTGATCAAGGGCCATAACTTTGGCAGTAATTATCGGAAATCAATAGGATTCTTCTTCTCATGACCTCAAACAATGTGTATGAATTTAAAGTCAATCAGATATTAACTTTAGCCTCTAGAGCATTCACAAGATTTTTTTAAGCGATCAAAGGCTAGAACTCTGGCAGTGATTATCAAAAATCACTGAAAATGAATAGACTTCTTAATCTCATGACCGTAAATACTGTGTATAAATTTAAAGTCAATCAGATATTAACGTTAGCCTCTAGAGCGTCCACAAGATTTTTCAAAGTGATCAAGGACCATAACTCTGACAGTAATTATCGTAAATCGCTGAAAATCAATAGGCTTCTTCGTCTCATGGCCTTAAACACTGTATATAAATTTAAAATCAATCTGATATTAACTTGAGCCTCTGGAGCGTCCACAAGCAATTGTGGACGCCAGACGGACGGACGGATGCGACAACAATATACGACCACATTTCAATGTGGGCATATAAAAATCTAACCAAAAATTTGGGAGCTTTCCCCAAGTCAGATCGCTCTGAAGTATATCTGACCGCACCCTAAAAATGGGGCTTTTTATATGGTCATAAGTTTCATGGCTGAAACTTACCAGAAACAAAGATTCACACTTGGTAAATAAAATTTTCAAAAATCTAACCAAAAATTGGGGGGCTTTCTCCAAGTCAGATCGCTCTAAAGTATGTCCGACCACACCCTAAAAATGGGGCTTTTTATATGGTCATAAGTTACATGGCTGAAACTTACTGGAAACAAAGATCCATACTTGGAAAACATATTTTTCAAAAATCTAACCAAAAAAGTTGGGGCTTTCCTCAAGTCAGATCGTCTTAAAGCCCACCTGGCCATGCCCTAAAAGTGGGACTTTTTATATGGTCATCAGTTACATGGCTGCAACTTACCAGAACTATAGTTCCATGCATGAAAAATGTATTTTTCGAAAATCTAACCATAAATGATGTGGCGGCTTTCCCCAAGTCAGACGGGCCTTAAAATTGCAGCCCCACCCACCCCCTCTATATAAAGCTTATAATAATGTAATATCAATAATACATTGTTGAACCGCATCAAGATTCAAAATTATAGCACAAAAATAGAACAAATGTTTATTAGCTATGTGGAATCCTAAAATAAGCAATGGTATCAAGTGTTGTAGGAAGAGTAGGCATGTCATACCCCATTCAGGACACGTCATGAATAGATAGTTAGGACTGATGTTAAATTTATGTCTTCAAACGTTCTGTATTCCATCACAAAAACCAATTCAATGATTCAGAATGTTATTCAATATCTTATAACAAAGTGGAAAATTCAAACAAATATTTCGAAAGTATTTATTGGATTAATAAGTTGTTTGGTTTGAATTCGATAGTTTTTGTTTTTCCTGATCTTCGATAATGAATAACAACCTAATGAATTTTAAAAAATGTTAGTCAGTGATGAATTACTGAAATTATGAAATCTATTTCTAGTTTTAATACATATAACTTTAGTTATCCTTCCTCCTCATTGGTAAATATTTGTTCCGCATAACATAAAATGATTTAAAATAAGTGAGTAAGTGTGGCTGGATGATGCCAATAGTTAATCTGTCACACTTTCATCATCAGTACAAGAATTGTTTGATTCGTCATCGAAGTCCTTGCTTTCTTGGTCACTATCTTCATCTATGCAAATACTCTCAACTGACAAGGGAGCAACATCTCCATCAAACCACTTTAATTCATACACCCCTTCACCATTTAAAACCCAACTTCTATTCTCTGGATGGAAATTGGGGAGATTATTCTTTGACGCATTTATCCAGACACTACAAATATAATTTGCTCACTTATTTTCAAATTTAATACCCGTGAGCATGTCGGCAAAGGGCTTGCTTCTCTATGCCTTTAATACCAGCAAGACATCCATTTTTAGCATCCCATAGATACTACAAACAAATCCTTCAATAACTATTTACTCCAGAAATAATTTTAAAGGTCAGACTTTCCCCTTGCCTATTAAACGATGCAGTATGATCAAAGCCAGTGAGTGCATGGATGCTTCAAATCTTCTCCTTTTACGGCTTATTGGTTTATATGCATTTATTGGTGATTGGTTGTCAGTCTCAACAAAAACCTGAATGCCTACTGTGTCGTGAAGAGTGTCTTTACCAGAAAGAATTTCAACAAATCTATCGTAGATTTTAAAAGCAACCACAGTTGCGCTCAGTGGATGTAAATGTCAATTCTGTTTCGAGTTCCTCAATGCTTAATGTATGTCCCAAACGATTAAGAATCTCAATAACCTTTTTACTGCCTGTAAGGCTTTTCATTGCAAGACCCAGTTGTAGGTGTTTTGATGGCTTAGTCCTACCCCAGGTTAAAGAATAAATGACATGCTGACTAATGGAATGAATTCTCTTGACTTTGTTTTATCCACAATTAGAGTATGGACCAACTAGTAGATGTGTAAAGAAAGCAGAGACCATGTCTAGTACTGCTATTTCACCATTTATGATATGTTGTATGGTTAAATTTTCAGGCCGTTTAATTTTCTTTGTACTGAATATTTCTCATCGGAGTAAGAAAGTGACACCCTTAACTGTATGTTCAGTTTCTCTGGCGTTGTCAGATGCCTTGCGAACAGCGTCCTCAACATTTAAACTTTTTCAGAAGACAATATTACCACATCTTTTATTTCCACTGTCAATTGAAATATTCTCAAAGAATTAAACCAGCTTGTTCTGCAAATCGCTGGGCAAAATTCCTAACTCTGTATAGTTTCCGCCCCCAAATTCTAATAAACATGACTGATAGTATTGCAGTAAGCTATTTAACAGGTAGAACTCTTGTTTTTCCAGAATAATGTCACAAAACTACATAAAGCATCAAATGCTTTGGTATAACCATGTCATTCAATTTTTTCATGACCCGCTTATTTCTCACATCTTTTCAGCTCTGCATTGATGTTCTATTCTGCACATTGCATGATAATGAATGTCTTTGCCAATGAAATCTATATCTTGGATGTTCTTAGGCATATTTTCATTATGAAGAATTGTTGCATATTCTTGAATGTTTTTTTCGATTGTCTTTGTGACACAGGTTATTACTTTCTGTTTGTGACCTTGATGTTTTCTATTTTGATTTTCTGCAAAACAGGCAGACCGTCTCGTACACACCAAAACTGGATGCAGAAGTCAATATTAAACATGATCTCATCAATTTTGGACTGGAATTTGGATTGTCATTTTCTTGTACTTATCATTCTGTTTCTTTTGAATTTTAGATAGCTCCGTAAATCTTCTATAACATTCCATGTGAAATCCTGTTAACTCATATATACTGAGCGCCATGGAAAACGCATCACTTAGTTTTTCGTATAACAAAATGATCCTGTAAACATATCTTATTTATTTTGCTTCTTATTGTGAACAATATTTAAATGGGAACACATCAATAACACATTTGTACACTTATGGATGTTTAATCTGTAATCAAAGGTACAATGTCAGAGGGGTCGAAAGCAAAAGTACAACAACAGATGTCAGTAGCGCGTGTGTCCTCCAAGGGCTCTTACTCACGCTGTGCAGCCAACGTTGCATGGAATTTACAGACGGCGTCCAATCTCATCCCAGACATGTTCTATCGGTGCCATTTCCGGAGACATGGCTGGCCAGTCCAAGACATTGATATTGTTAGCAGCCAGGTAGTCCATACTAAAACGGACAGTATGCGGACGTGCATTATCCTGTTGGAAGTGCTGAAGTTGTGGGTGCGCTCGAAACATCGGAACAACAATTGGTTGCAAGACATCATTAACGCGACCCCTGCAAATGTGTAGGGAATGTTTTATTATAAAGTGTACCAGTGGGTATCTAACAAATGTAATGGTTTTATTAGAAAAGAGAAAAAGAGTTTTTAAATATTTTTCTTATCTTCAAAATCAGCATGTATTGAACATATAGAATATTAATACCAGGTTTATTGATGTATTTTTTTTATTAAAATAAGATCCAAATATTTTAATGAATTACATCATTTAAGACAGACATTTTTCCCATCACTTTTTATCAAGATTTTAGAATACATTGCAATAACATTTGTTTTAAAATTTTGAATTTATTTTTGTATAATTATAATGGTAAGTGTGTCTTCTTTAAAACAGTCTTAAAAATATACTGATGAGAAAAATAACAAGTTCCGAAAATTGAATTGTTCAAACCCCTGTGAAAATTTGACTAGTCTGTCCATCCACTACATCATTGAAGTGGTCTTACATTTGTTTTGTAAACTTTGTATTTTTACGTCACTTGGAAATA